CAACTTTCCTCTGGTTGCAGCAAAGATGTCTTCTATCTGGGTGGACGTGCTCTTCGCCAGAAGCACATTCTTTCGACACGTAAAGAAAGCATCTGCCATTAAAAAAAAACACACACACAAAAAAAAACATAAAACAGATGAATATGCTTTCCCATTCATTATTTCTTTCTCCAGTGAATTTGCTGTTGTATATAACCATTCAGTGTAGCAACCCAAACAAATGACTTCTCTGAAGAAAAACAGTTACAATCTGAGTAACTTACCCTGCCTCTTAATGTTAGACCACAGTCTATAGCTAGCTTTTAGTCAAAGTCACTGAAACTGTACAGCACAACAATGCCTTTACCAACCTGAGTAAGTGCAATTCTCGCTCAGGCAGCACCACAGCCAGTCAGCCAAGCTGGAATGTGCTGTGGCAGTTGGACCTGTTCTCAAATACACATCTGTACAAGTTAGCTGATGGGGTGCATGGGTTAAGAAGCCAAGCTTTGAAGGTGACGACTTGGAACAAGTTTCTTTACAGAAATTTGGTAAAATGTACTATTCAGATAAGATGATTAAAAATGGTCACATGTCACAGCAATGTGCTAGAAAAACTGTTCTGTAATTAGAGATGAAAAGTAAAGAAGCAGGGGGACAAATATGAGCAATTAAAAGACTTATTAAAGAGAATATATGCACAGAAGAATTCTCGATAAGAATTAATGGCCACCTGGTAACCGCTATGTGTGATAAATATATATGTATACATAATCTGCTGTTCACACAACACTCTTGAATATTGGTGGTGTAAAGCAGAAAATGACAGGGACTCTTTCTAATTCTATCAACATCAGAAATGACAGTATTGATCTTTTGCTACAAATCATACACAGATACCAGTCCCTGCTGTTAAGCAGGAATTTCTGTTGTCTACAAATCCCCTTTTTTCTGCTGTACCCCTGCAGCAGTCACCCATAGCAGTAACACACAAGGGTCAGCAATAACTGTAGGCTTGTTCTGCTGGTATCTTCTGTGAATGCTTTTTGCGTGCATCAGAAATGTAGCACAGAGACCCACAACCCCCCTCTGTACACTTGTAATGGAGCTCACGTTTGTCACAAATACCAGCACTTCACTTCCACACACGGCTATCATAGGAGCTTATAAGGCAAGAGCTGAATGTCGGGGCGGCCAGCCGGTCGCTGTGATCAGCCTGCAGCCATGGCTGCCACAGACGTGAGAACCGGTTCGGGCAGGACGGCTCTACATGAACACAGCACCAGGGCCTGCGAAGCCACAGCCGGATCGGGGAAACCAGGTGAAATCTGCACAGACCCAACTGAAGGTGCTTAAGGGCTACCAGGCCTCACAGCTGGCCGTCTCCGAAGGTCTCCCCGGGACCCGCAGCGCGGCTCCGAGGCAGCACGCTCAGAGCCTCCAAGAACAAAATCCGCGACTTCGAAGCCAGGGTCGGGACCTGCTTCCAAAACGCCCGCCTCCAACCACAACCGCACGGAGCCGCACACGCGGCGAGCCGCGCCGAACGAGCAGAAAGGGCCGTGCCACCTCAGAAGGCGACTCCGGGCAGCACGGGGCCCCTTCCCAGCACCCAGGCGGCAGAGCTGAGGAAGGACCCGGCGCAGCCTCCACCCGAGGAGCGGAGGCCGCCGAGGGCCCCGCGGCCCGACCCGGCCCCAGGGCGGCGCCTTATGGGAGGCAACGCCGCCGCGACCGGAGCGCGGCGGAGGGAAGGCCGGGCCCCGCGCGCCCCCCCGGCCGCTTCCCGGCCCCGCCGCCGCCCGCCCGGGGCCGGGTTACCTCGCAGGGCCCGGAGGAGCCGCACCGCCGGCAGCAGCACGTAGCAGAGCACGGTGCCGATCATAGCGCGCGGCGCGGCCCGACCTCCTCCGCCGGCCCGGCCCCAGCTAGGCGACGCGCCGGCCCGGCCCCGCCTCAGCAACGGGCTGACGGCCCGAGCCCCGGCTCCGCGCAGGCACTCACCGCGCCGCGGCCGTCCCCTCGTCCGGCCGTCTCGGGCACGGGTCTCGCCGCGCGCCGGGCCGGCCCCGGCAGGTCGGGGCAGGCGTGTGGGATGGCCCGGCTGGGGTGGGGCTGCGACCGGGGCCGGGCGCCCGCGGGGCCTGGTGACGGCGCTGACGCCGGGCGGCCGAATCGGTCCGCAACCCGGGAGGGGTGCTTTCAAATGGAAGTTTGCGCTCTGTTCTCCAGAAGCCTTCAAAAGTTGCAACCCCCTGAAAAAGCACCACATAAAGTCCCTTCTGGTCCCAGGCGGTTCGTGATTACAGTTCACTACGTGTCTCGCAAACCTGTACCCACATTAGTCAACATCTCGCAGAGAGCAGGCTGTGTGGACAAACCCCGTTGGCAGCAGGTCGAAGCACCAGCACACCAACGCGTTCTCCTTCTGTGGTTTGCTCACAGCATGTCGCAGCTCTGCAAAACCACTCCATGTAATCAGCTGTGAGCACACTGTGAGCACCTTGTGGCCCTGTGAAGCTGAGGCCTGTCATGCTGAAACCAGACAGTTTCAGGGAAAAAGTCCTGCTTGAGCTACATGTTTAATACTTTGTTTTATTCCGCATTTGGCTGTGCACAAGGTAAAAATTGAACTGAGCACCACTGCAGCTCTTTACGACAATTACATATTTTAATGTATCATAGTAATATACAAAATTGGCAAATCTAACTCAGCTAAACTGCAATGTCCATGAAAATCACCCTTGTCATCTGGTAGGGAGCATTTAGATCCTATATCCGTACTGGTTATTGCCTCTCACTTATTAGAGGTTGGTTTCTGCTTCAAGTTAAAAGCTTCTCATATTTTCAGAATAATGCTTTATGCCACCTCGGGTGTTTCTCCTCCCACTTGGGAAAGACACCCAGCACACTTCTGGAGGGTGATTTTAGTAACCCTCTTCCAAACTCCCTTAAAGATGGCTCTTGGGATTAGGTCAACAAGACTCATGCTGTCCCTAACTCTGCACCAGCCAGTGCTACCAGGCTGTGCCTCGGATGGGCCCTAGCTGTTGTTTTATGTTATCATAGAATCATTAAGCTTGAAAAAGACCACTAAGATCACGTAGTCCAGCCATCAGCACACCACCACTATGCCCACTAAACCATGTCACTCAGCACCACATCTACACTGTTCTTGAAGTTCTCCAGTCCCTGGAAGTGGTGATCCCACCACCTCCCGGGCAGTCTTTTCCAATGCATCACCACTCTTTTGGAAAAGAAATTTTTTCCTAATATCCAAACCGAATCTCCCCTGGCACAACTTGTGGCCATTCTCATTTGTCCTATCACTGTAACCTGGGCTTCTTTCAGGTAGTTGTTGAGAGTGATAATGTCTCCCCCGAGCCTCCTCTTCTCCAGACTGAACAATCCCAGTTGCTCCTCATACGGTCTAGTGTCTAAGGTCTATACTGTGATAAGCACAGCAGGTGTCAGTGGCTAGGACCTGAGCTGATGTTACTACGTATATGTCACGGAATAACCTCTGTGCCAAAACTGAGTATGTCTCTGGCAAAGTACAGCAGTTGTCTGCAGTCTCCCATATCTGGCCGCAGTATGAAAACCATCATTGGTGTCTGCCTAAAACAGAGGATGTTCTCCAGAGGAAGGGTTTGTGACAGCAAAGGCAAATTGCCAGGGAATTTAAAACAAAGCTGTTCTTTGAGAGTTCAAAAAGTATCTTCAGGCCCAGCCCACATCAGGATAAGCAGACTGGAATAGAGAAGAATATTGGCCAGAACCACAGACAAGCAAGGATCTGGACTGCCACTGTTGTTTGGCCTATGCGAGAGAAAAATATTTACAAACTTGGCAACAGAATCAAAGCTGATGGAAGTCTGCTTTGGGGTCAAACCTTCCACTGGTTTATGCATCATATTTTGTTTTATAGCCAAATGTGACCCTGCTGTGGCCTCTAATGAGTGGACTAGCTGGGAAGTTTATGTAGAACCTACGGGGGGAAAAAAACAGAAAAGATATATATATATAAAACAGAATATTGATGGGAAGGTTCAGCCTCTACTGCCATACCACCAACAGCTGCCTCTGATGTTGTGGCCAACATAATAAAAGAGGAGGCATTATTTTCAGAGCAGTCTTCATACATAGTGTAGTTTAAATAAACTTCAAAGATTTTGAAGTGTATGCGTCAGTTCTGCTCAGGCTCCATCAGAAATCCTCTTGTGTTACAGCTTTAGATTTCTCCCCTTAGGAAAGGTTTCGGAGTCCTCAGCATAAATTGCATAAAATAATAAGTGTTGAGCCAAATTTGGCACCACCATTACTTGCCCAGACAAATGAATACTTGATTTGAGGCCCCATTAAATGCTGGTATGTTCACAAACCACATGTTATTGAGGAACACACAGGAAAATAGGCAATAAAGAAGTTTGAATCTGTTGAATACTAATAAGGCTAATGCACCCATTTCTTTCTAAGCTCCTTTCTGACTGCAAATGCAGCAGTCTGCCTTTCCATACAAAGCTGTATAACCTGCAGACCAACCAGAAGGAAGGAGAAGACTCACCAGAGATCTGGCATCACCTTCTGATATTCCTGGGGGTTCTTACAGCCAAAACATCATCTGATCCTGTCCTTGGGTGCTGACACCATCAGAGACCAAACAGCCCTGGTTTCCTGAGAAACCTGGAACACAGAGTTTGGGTGTGAAAGTGAGGTCACAGAATGGCCAGAACAGAGGGGTGAGGGTGCTGAGGACAATATAGGGCTCTCCTAACATCCAGCCAGCCCCTACAAAAACAAAACAGGGTTCTCCTGTTTATAAGCAGTATAAATCAAGAACGTCAACCTTACAAATAGCACCATTCCTCTTAAAGGCTTTTAAATTGCAGCTGAACAGCTGTGCTTTGTACAACAGAATTAGAGGAAATGGTGGGGCCTAAAAGGTAGCTGTAAACTTCTCACTGAGGGAGGAGAAAAAGCAAATAAACCTGCAGCTCATTGGTAGTGACAAGAAAACAGCCATGGACAAGGACTCTGAGAACACAGGTGCTGTGCTTAGTTATCTACAAGTAGTCAGAAATAGGTAAATCAGCAGGGTCCAACAGGGAATACAGGGAGCACTGTGTCTGTAGACAAGTGAAAGTCTTCCCTTCTGTGACCTGGGCTGCATTGATATGTTACTGCCAAGAAGTGGGGTGCCAGGGGACCCAGGCTGCTGCTGGCCTGAGATGGCTACTGCCAGAAGGCTGGTGACAAATCAGACCAGCACCTTGCTTAGAAAATAAAATGCCAGCTGACCAGTACCAGCATTTATACCTCCTGGCAATTATACGCAGCTGCCTTTCATTCCCCATGGAGGATCTAGTAGCTTAGCACTGTGTAAAATGAGGTCCTATTTTAGCCCTCCCTTGCTAGGAAAGGTGGGTTGGCTTTGAGAGGCAGACTGGTCCTGGTCTGCACTCTGCTAAGTAGCCTGTTTGTAGTATTTGGGGCTTATTTCCTAGTCTAACCTAACTTTTCTCTCATTAAATTATACTCTAATTTCTTCTTAGTCACAGTAGGATGGGACCTGGCTGTTCGCCTGAATTATTTTTAAGGTATGGTACAAGGAATGTAGAAGTGAGGATGACCTTGACAGTTTCCTTTCACACTTGAAATTCCTTAGCATATATCAATTAGATTACATCATAGAAGAGAAGGAGAGTGATTTATTACAATTTTCGTCTCACCTGAAGTTGAACCACTACAAGCAGTGATTATAAGAAAGATGACTTCATTAATTTAATAGTGGTATGCCGAGCATTTTGTAATGCTAGGCAAAAGAGAAGAAAATTTCCTCTTCTTTACCATCCCAGTATAAATTGCTAGTGTGGTATACCAAAGACTTATAAAACACAACAGAGAGAACAATATGGAGTCCAGACAACAGGTACTGCCAGCCTAGCATGAGAAGGGTTTTGCCAGTCTCAGTACATTGTAAATCTCCCATCAAACCATGGTATGAACTCCCCTCCAGGTTCGTGGTTGGTAGAATCTGTGCCTGAAGAAGACTGACCAGAAAGCTGTGTCTGCAGTCCCAATGCCTCAAAAAAAGTGAGAGAGAAAAGAATCTCCAGACTCCTCAGTCTTCACTGCATTGGTTTTGACAATGATCTCTCTCTTGTGAGACCCCCCCCCTCGATTGCTGCATTCAGATCTGGGCTCCCCAACATAGGGAGCCTACAGGAAAGCTGGAGAGGGACTCTTTATCAGGGACTATAGTGATAGGAGAAGGGATAACTCTTTAAAAGGAAAAGAGGGTAAATTTAGGTTAAATATTAGGAAGAAATTCTTTGCTATATGGAGGGTGAGACCCTGGAACAGGTTGTCCAGAAAACAGATTGTACCCCGGGATGCCCCCATCTTCAAATACCTGAAAGGTGCTTATAGTGAGAGCAGGGCTGGCCTCTTCTCACTGGTGACAGGTGTCAGGATGAGGGGAAATGGCCTCAAGTTGCACCAGGGTAAGTTTAGGTTCGATATCAGGAAAAACTTCTTTACAGAAAGAGTGGTGAAGCACTGGAATAGGCTCCCCAGGAGAGCAGTTGAGTCACCGCCTCTGAATGTGTTTAAAAACTGTTTGCATGTGGTGCTCAGGGACATGATTTAGCAGAGGGTTGTTAGAGTTAGGGTAGTATGGTTAGGTCGCAGTTGGATTTGATGACCTTTAAGATCTTTTCCAACCTGAGCAATTCTATGATGCTATGATTCTATGATTCTTGGAACTGTTCAAGACCAGGTTGGATGGGGCTTTGTACAACCTGGTCTCCTGGAATATGTCCCTGCCCATGGCATAGGAGTTGGAACTGTATGACATATAAGGTTCCTTCCAACTCAAACAATTTTATGATGATCATGATTCAATACCTTTTACATTTCCGCTTGAATAACATCTTAACAAGGCAAACATCTGCATCAGTGCTACCTTATACAGTTCCACAGGGATGCTAAGGACCACATCTGGATCTACTTTAGAAGGCTCAGATCACGTAGTGCAGGGTTGGCTGTTAGTGGGCACACAACAGTTACGTTATCAGAAGGTGATAAAGCCTGGAGGGATTCTGTATAGCACACAAAGATCTGTCTGATCCCTAGGGTGGGAAGTTTTTTATCAGGATGACTAGCACTGTAGGGTCATTAAGCAAAGACCACCTGGGGATATTATTACAGTATTTCAAATCTGGGTCTTTTTGTCTCATGAGTTCTTTACATGGGATTTAAACCTGTTCTTACCCTTTCTTGTGGTGAAATACAAATAAAGCCATCAATTGAACAAAGTCTGGCAGAAGGAAAATATCTTAATGAAGGAGCTGCAGGGATGGTTGAAATGCTGTGATGTGGGTGCCAGCTGTCCAGTCTTTCCCTCACACAGATCTGAGTGAACAGCCAAACTGCAAGCTTCATGAAACATCAGTGCAAAGTGACACCCAGAGCAGCCTGGAACTCTGAAGAGAAATAAGGATTAAGGGAAGAAGGTAGTAAAAGCAGTGTCAAGGGATGAAAAGAAACAGTAGGAAAAAAAAGTGTAGTTATTCACCCAAAAATATTTTGGAAAAATCACTCTTGATGATTCTGGTGTGCATTTTCTTGTCTTAAAGAAGAATTTTCCAAATTCTCATTTTCTCTCACAGTAAAATAAATTATGAACGGTAAGCAAGAGAAGCTGTGCTACTTCTATCGAGTCAGGTTACGCTCAATCCCAACATACAATAACATTCAAAAATTCCTTTTCTGCTTTGCTTGAAGAGTACTACAAAGCAATCCCCATCTGATAGCAGTCAGCCAACAGTATCCTGCCTTTGCCTGGGAAAGTCTGAGTCAGTTCAGGAGAGCTAAAAGGAGCTGGCACAGCTTTGGTTTATAGGTTTGTGGGAAAGTGGGATGGAGAAGGAAAATTGGTTGTCTAGTCATTTCAGAAAGAGGGGAAGGAGAGAAAGGCTGCTGCTGGGAATGAAAATCTGATGTGAGCCCATGCCAGAGCTAGCACCACACGGGGACCCAACACGGAGTGGGCATGAAGTGGGGCTGGGGAAGGAGCACATCTGCAGAATGTTGAAGAGAGGTGCAGACTTCAGTGAGAGCACTAGGAAGTTGTCATATACCAGGAGTCTCAAAGTGCTGGGTTGGCACTGACATGTGAATGCTTGGTTTCATAGCAGATCAGAATGAAGAAAAGTCAGATATCAGTAAGCCTCCAGAATCTCCACTGTCTGATGCCTCAGCAGAGAAGGCCGCACAAGGCTCTGACACTGACCTAGATGTTGAAGGTGAGTGCTTTCTTGCCATCTGCCCCTCACTATCCTTTCCCCTTACAATCAGTGCTGTACCTACCAACACGCATGTGTCAGAAATGAAGGCCACAGAACACAACCACATCAGGGTCCTGACATCCACATCTGACACCTGAACTGACATCTGGCAGTTCAAAAAGGCAGGGGGGATTCATTGCCTTTTAGGAGCTTCCACTTTGACATCAAGTGTCTTCCTTCACTCCTCTCTGTACAGAATAAACAATGGCTGTTCCTTCATTCTTTTCTTTCTCCTCTAGTCCTTAATAACCAATGCTAGCAGAGCAGCCTGCCTGGGCAGTATACCACCTAGAACAATCCAAGGGTGGGGGGTGGGGATCAGGCCCAGTGCACTTGAAACACAGATGAAATACTGCATACCAGCTGTTGTCTGCATGCCATAGGTTTGCCATGATTGTCCTTTTCTGCTTGCTCTTCTCTAAATTCCTGTCTAGTGAAGTCAGTCCTCTGGCTAAACAAGTCTTATGCTCGTTTGTGTCACAGTAGGACTTTTCCATAATTTTGGATGAACATTTTTTAACATGTTGTAAATTGAAGGAAAACTTTTTTAAAAAAAAAAAAAAAGAATGCAAGAAAAAAAGGACTTTTGTGAGAGGCCTCAGACTGAACTGGAAAAATGGGAAGGGAATTTGTCTTGAGGTCAGACCACTGAATGTGTATAACAACACAGAGAAATATGAGCTCTGTGTATGGGGTTTTGATGAAGGAATTCCAAATGACAGGTTTCTGTGGAAATACAGCTGCCAGCTGCACTGATATTTCTCACTGCAGCTGTGTCAACAACACCCGATGGCCAAGATGGCAATGCTGGGATTCTTTCTGCTGATTGTAAGCCAAAATGTTCTGAGCTGCCCTCGCTCTGCTGGCAATATCAGCTGCGTGCTTCAATTAAGACTTAAAGGAAAAAAAAAATGGTGAAAAGGTTTTTGCCTGATGTCAGAAATTCTCAATTACACCAAGAAGGATTTAGTCACATTGCAGACTGATGAGAAGCTACAGCTTATCACCAAATGCCAAGTGGAAAAGAAAGCAAGCTATGTTAACTCTTAGAAGTGTGGTATAAAGGCATGGGGAAAATTCTGGATGGAAGATAACTTTTTAAAAGTAAAATTCTGCAGTTGTTGCATAGTGTTACTTAATTTAGCTCTGTAATTAGTAGTATAAGTCTTAACAGAGAGGCTGAGCCAAAGAAACTGGCATAGTTTGCTGATGGTTTGGTTTGAGTCATGAATCAAGACAAAACAAAATGAGGTGCTCATTTTGGCAAAGAGCGAGATCTTGGTTGAGGTGGCTGCTGAGTTCTCGGCAGACAACTGGCAGGCTGTCCCCATCTCCCATGTTGCCACAGATGCTGAGGCAAGAATCCTTCTGCTCCTCATCTCAACATTCTAGCGTGAAGAAATGTTACAGATATTGGGGCAAGTCCTGTGCTTAACACGGAAAGGTCAAGAAATCTATATTCAGAGTGTTTGCTTTGGGGTATTAGGGAATTATTAGTTTATGCTTGCCAGCTGTGCTTTATTCAAAGGACCCAGAGAAAGTGGAGTGCTTGGGAAAAACAGCCTCAGAAGATGGATGGCAGACACAAAATGCACCACTCATTCATATACTTTTTCTCTGCAGATCCTGGGAAAGCCTTTGGAGGTGTTAGGGGTGCAGAGCTGTACCTGGAAGCATGCAGACTGATGGAGGTGGTGCCTGTCTCACACTTTGCTCAGAACTTAGCCAAGTCTTATATAAACCTGAACCACCATGGTCTAGGACCCAAAGGTGTCAAAGCCATTGCTATTGCTCTAGTGGTGAGTACCTAGTAAGAGTGGGGCCATTTTTGTCAATGTCATTTTAGGCCTCTCCTTGAAAGCCATCACTGAATACACAAAGTGAGAGAAAATGTCCTACATTACCCATAGGAATTCCAAGTCCTCCTTATATTTCTACTCCCCTGAACGGGAAAGCCTTGTGTGGCAACTACTGGCCTTTGCTGAAATTACTGTGCCGTGCCCCTTGCCTACAGTCCTGTTTAGGACCTGCAATGCCTACTGAGGTTTGGAGGAAATGTCCAGTATCTGTTGACTGAGAAAACAACCCACTTCACTAGCTTTCCAGCTGTCTTTTCTGCGTCTCTTTTTACCTTTGTGTCTTTGCAGTCCAATGCAACTGTCACCCACTTAGAGCTGGAAGATAACCACATTCTGGCAGAAGGAGCCATATGCATAGCAGAGATGTTACGAGAGAACTGCTCTATTCGAGAACTGGTACCCAATCTGATGCAGTTTTTAGCCAAAAGTATTGCTTACCAAGTTCAATCATCTGAAGAATTTCAATACAGAAAACTAATTCATTCAATTCCAAGTTTTAACCAAATAACAGTTGCTCCCATGCAAAAATATTCATATCTGAAAGGCATGGTATTTTACGCTCATCTAGTTTTAAAATGTACAAGCTTCTGAAATGGCAGAAATGTGCATGTGATGAGTCTCACGAGGCTCCCAAGATCTGGGAGCCTGGAACTGTTCTTTTCATTAGCAGATGTAACAATAATTACCAGAACTGGGTTTTTCTAGGTCATGCTTAGCCAACAAAAAAATGTTTTGGTCAGAAACTTTTATTCTCCAATATGATATGAGGAAAATTTTCTAAATAGATTAAGGGAGTAATGCATAACTTTCAGATTTAAATCCTTAGGAATGTTCCTTCAATCTGAAAGTGAGGTAAGAAAAATTTTGATGGGCCGCGGGATCTGTGTTGCACTGAGAAGAAATGTTCTTAGCCAAATGCCTCTTGGTTTACTGAAGACAAAGATCCACATGAAATTGATGGCTCTAGGACTTTGTTTCTGCTGGGAAGGCTATGGGATTAAACATACCTATAGCTTTTATTAATTATTGCTAGTATAACATTTCTTATATTATTGGTCTTGCATTTTTTTCTTAAGATCTTGTGTATTAAAAACACAATGAAGCTAACTCATTATTTGAGCTCATCTTTTTTTGTCCTCCCTTGTCTCCTTCCAGAACATTTCCAATAACCACCTGGACACAGAAGGGGCTGAAGCCATTGCCAGTTTGCTTTTGGAAAATGCATCCTATCTCCATACTCTTCAGCTCTCAGGTGGGCTGCATGCACTCAAGCAGTGACAGCAGTGGAAGTGAAATGCCACATGTTTCATTTCAGTCCCCCATCCCAAGAGCATTAGTCAGACCATGGGCAAAAACAATTTCTTGGTTATGTCCCTTACAAGAACCCAAAGTGGCAATGTGGAAATTAGATTTATAGCAATATGATCAAAATAAGTATTCAGCCTGCTAGCCTCCAGCCCATCTGCAGAACCAGTCCCATATGAGAAACCTGGATCATTGCTGGGTGTCTCCAACATCTTGGGATAATTCTATGGATTGAAGCGGAGGAAAGGCTAACATATCAAAGTCAGATAAGGACCGTGATTAACTGAATGCTTCACATAAAAGCACAGTTTCCTGCAGACCCCAATACAATGCCAAGGGAGAGATCAGCACACTGTTCACATACTTCTTCCTCCACAGGAAACAGTTTTGGAGAGGAAGCTGCATCATGCCTTGCTGACGCATTAATGGTGAGTTACCTGAAATCCAAGGTCATTTGCAGCCCAGATTGCGTAAGACTCCTCATTTTGAGCTGATATTCACTTGGCATAATTTCAGATGGCAATAACTATATGAGTTCCTGGCATAATTCTGCTAAGTGCCTCTTGCTTACTTCAGAAACAAGGGAGCCTGGAGGATACAAAGAAGGATGGACTAGATTAACGTTTTCTCTGAACAGCTTTGTGAGTCTGGCTGAGAAATAAAACCTCAGGACTGTGTAACAACAGAAGGAAATACGGGTAATCCCAAATTTTCAAGAAGCATAAGTAGGCTAACATAAGAGCACTTTGCAATTCTGCGACAAAAATCTTGGTTTCTCTTCTTATTTCTTGTTTCCAAGTTTCTGCACTATTTGGCACCACCAGAAGACGCCATGAGGGAAGGCCTTAGGCTGATGATAGAAAGTGCTCTTGGTCAGGATTCAGTGCTGGCAGTGAAACAGGGGGCAGCAGCCGGATATGTTACAGATCAGACATAAGCTGTGTGAGAGAAGTTTGCACAACACAGCACAACACACAGTCCCATTGCTTTTGCTGTTTTGGGAAGATAATTGCTGTGACTTTGTATGACTGACAAAGCTTTGTCTTGGGGTACACAGTGCCACCATCTCCATGTTGATGAACTCCCACATGGTGTAGATTTCAACGAGTTTGATATCCCTCTGTTTCATCCTCACGCTGGGGCCTTAGCATGGCAGCTGGCTGCAGCTGGTTGGAAGATCTCATTCTTCCTGCACATTTGTCTCTCTGCAGAGCAATTACCAAGTGAAGAAGATGGACCTCAGCCACAATGAGTTCTCTGAGAAGGGAGGACAGCTCCTAGGACAGATGCTCGGTAACTTACGTTATTACTTTCCAAGAGCCAGGTGTGCAGGTAGTCATTGGCAGACACAATGGGTCCAGCATGGTGAACATGTACTTCCTTCTTGTCCAATGACCTGGTGGGCAATACGAAAGACCAGATTTAGAGATTCCTGGCTGGTCCACCAACTCACCCTATTCACCGCAATTGACTGTAGCCACTGTTTCACAGCTGTCTCAGAATAGAAATGAAGGATGAGAAACCACAGTAACAGAGGAGTCTGTGTCAGAGAGAGGGAGCTGAAAGAGAAGTCCTTTACAGTGTTTAAAGCAAAAAATTACATTTTAATGGAATTCTAGAGCATAAAAACTGTTTAAAGCTTCTGATCACCAATTGAAACTTTTCTTAAGTATCACAAACTCTAGTGGTTTGAGTCATTGTGTATCAAGCAGCATTGTGTATCAAGGGAAACAGATTAAAAAGAAATAAAATAAAGCTGCCTAATTTAGCTCTTCAGACAGAGTGAGATCCATGATGCATAGTAGCCCTGGAGAGGGAAAACAAACAAAACAGTAAAAATCAGTCATTAATTTATGGTACTATTTGTGCAGCAAAAAAGACTTGCACAGATATCTGGCAGCATTTCTTCCCTCAGCATCCACAAGAAAATACTACCATGACAGGCACAAGCCTGTGACCTGAGCATCCTGTGTTCCTTGAGAATGCCAGTAACATGTCTTTGATTTAATTAGCAATTTCATTCCCCTGGTTCAGTATTCACACTGATAGGAACCTGCTTCTAATTACAACCCATGTCTTTAAAAGATGGATCAATTAAAACTGCAGTGGGGGAGTAGGCACTATGTCCCTGTATTGCTCAAGTCTGAAGGGAACCCAGGGACCAATACTGAACCTTGTGACCTTCCCAGCCCAGAAAAAAATGCATCTCCAAACTAAAACTTCTTAAAGCTCTTCCTTCCTGCCGGCTCAATACAGGCAGGAGCTGCAGAGTTTATTGCAGAATCTGTTTTTCTTCTGATCTGTTTTTTTAAAGGAATATTTTAAAGTTAGCTAAATTCACCATCTGCCTCCGTCCATCCTCCCATCCATGGAAAATCTGGATGAGAAATGCTTTCTGAAGATGAGAAGCTTTGGCAGTAACTTCTACTCCTCTCAGTGTCACAGTGACACAAATGAATTCACACATATCCTGCTCTAAGTAGAACTTAAACTGTGAGGTGTGTTTTGCATGGAAATTGGCACTGACATGTACAACTGGGCACTACTAGTATGAAGCTGAATTCCCCTCCTCTGCTAACCAAAGATAGGCAGAATGAGTCTTGATGTTTTGGATGTGGCAAGGAGCATCCAAACATTTTTCCAGTGAGAAACAGTGCCTACTAGAGTCAGAAATCCTTCCTCTCTTTACCTCCCTCCTTCACAATGCATCCTTTGACTAAGCCAAAAAAAGCTATCTTCCCTTTCTGCTTGTGATCAATAGCCTGTTCTCTGTTCCGTGGAGGCAACAAACAGAGAAGACTGTAGGTACAGCTATTGCTGAATCTCCAGCAAACTTGCTCTGAGCCCCTGCCTGTGAGTCAGCATCTGTGCTCAGACTGCTGTTCATAAGATAACATCTCAATTTCTCTATCTTAGCTGTCAATACAACACTAGAGATTCTGGATCTGAGCTGGAACCACCTGAGGAGGAAGGGAACAGCAGCATTTGGCACAGGTCTTAAGGTAGGAATTCTCCTTCACAGTGATTACTGTCAGAAGCTGATTAAAAAACTGATTGGGAACTCACATGCCTGAGGTCTGAGCAGGATTCAGAAGCTCTAGCTAGGCTTATTCTACTGACATTAGGAGGCAGTGCCAGGTGAACAATTAAAGTAGTGGGTAGGTCTGGTGACTCGTGTGGATGGAGAGGTGCTGGGACATTGAAGAGATGTTGGATTCATTGGCGCTGGGCTGGATGTGACTTGTGTCCTGTCTCAGTCAAGCGAGAAAGGGTAGAGTGTTACACATGGTGTACATGCAGTAGCTGAGATCTCTCTTCTCTCACCGGAGGGCAATGCTGCACTGAAAACACTCAACCTGTCTTGGAACAACATTGGGAATGAGGGAGCACACGCCTTAGCAGAAGCTCTCAAAGTTAACAATGTGCTGATTCACCTGGACATCAGCAACAACCAGATCAACAATGAGGGAGCCAAGAAGATTTGCAAAGGCCTTAAAGTCAATGGAACACTGAAAGTCCTGAAGGTAAAATGAAGCCCAGGCAGGGCTGGAAGAGAAAATGGTGGGAGTAGAAAGTTCTGAGGCACGAAAGACAGAGTGAGCAGTTTGAACTAGAATAGAGTAGATGAGTACTGCTCTGGTTTGAAGGTGAACAAAGCAGAAGGAAATTCTGTGCTCTGAGTTTCTACCAGGAAAAATTAATTGCACTGTTCCCTCAAAATGTCACCCAAATACTGGCCCTGGCATAACACCACACCCATTATACCCCAAAGTGGTTGATACCTATCATATCTAGTCTCAGTCAAGAGAGCCCAGGCATTCAACACGTCTAGCAGAGCCCAGGCATTCATCAGGTCTGCGTAGATCCATAATACAGAGTTGTGAATATACAGATTTATACATATTCTAAGCTTCAACATAAGGCAAAAGTTCAGAGATTTGAATCATAGAATCATAGAATGGCCTGGGTTGAACAGGACCACAATGATCATCTAGTTTCAACCCCCCTGCTATGTGCAGGTCGCCAGCCACCAGACCAGGCTGCCCAGAGCCACATCCAGCCTGGCCTTGAATGCCTCCAGGGATGGGGCATCCACAGCCTCCTCGGGCAATCTGTTCCAGTGCATCACCACCCTCTGTGTGAAAAGCTTCCTCCTAATATCTAACCTATACCTCCCCTGTCTTAGTTTAAAACCATTCCCCCTTGTCCTGTCACTATCAACCCATGTAAACAGTCATTTCCTTTCCTGTTTATGTGCTCCCTTAAGTACTGGCAGGATTTGAAGGTAGAACGTGCCTTTCTCAGTGTGTTAATGATTTGCTAAAAATTTGTTCAAACAGGACAAACTGTTATTGCTACATCAAGGCAATGCCATAGCACTACCCTGAGGTGTGTTATCAAGTCTTGGAAAAAGAAAGCCAAAACTGTATTCTGATAAACTAAGAATCAATAATCTAGGAATGGCACAAAGCTGAATGACCAGCCAAACTAGCCTGAGAGGTTAGGCTTGAAAGCTAATCTATCTTCTCAATCTGAAATAATTCTATAGGAATTCTGCTCAGAAAAGTCAGCCTGCTTATGAGGTGGATTCTCATCTCAGCTAAAGCTAATGTCATTACCCCGAGAATGTGCAAATGGCAGTATGGTGGTTGAAGGACATCTTTAAAACTGTACAGGTCTGTCTTTGGACAACCCATCTTTGTAAATCACTGCAACCACAATGCCTTTTTTGGATTGCTGTTCTAGATTACATAAATAAATGTGGCTGCTTGTCTCATTCTTAACATGGTCAAAGGTAGGATCACTTAGCTAAAGCTTAAGCATTCCTCTCTGGGAGCTGGCAACCCTACAAGCAGCACATGCAACACAGCACTTATTGTCCTAACAATATCTTTGCAGTGGTACAAAGGGTAGCAAGTGCTCTTTTATGTAGCGGTACAGATTGTCTTGGGAACTGATAACATAAATAATATAGAGTTAATAATTTAGAATTCCATTAGCCTATGTTAACCACCATGTTTTTTTCACATAATTGGAGTGGAGAGTACATATAAAGTTCAAGTTGGAGAAGAGGTGATGTTCATACACTAAGGAATGTACACGGCAATGACAGCCCCATAACTCTAAATATCTTGACCTTGTAGGCCTGAGACAGCTGATCAGCCTGAGCCTTGATCAGCTGTGCTGCCAAGAGGATCCAAAGGGTATGGGAAAGGTCCTGAGGGGTACTTGCCATCTCACAGGGTTCTCTGTTCAGATGAACTTTACTAGCAAACACATCCTCAAACACAGTCCATCGTCTCAGCCTTTTGCCGTCATATGACTAAGCACACCCTACATCACATACTCCCATGTGACACACAGCAGGGACACGTCAAATTTCATAGATGGAGACAGAGGCTGAGAAGGCAACTCCACTGGAGAGCTGCACTGCAGAGTTTTGAGGACAGAGACAAGAGATGCTGAGACAAAGAATAAATACATCAAAAGGGACCACAGTTATTCTAAGACCTGCTGAAGGATGGGAAGAAAGGGTCACTCCTGCAGTTACAGCATGCCTCCTGCAAGGACACAAAAGTTTCATTCTCACTATGTCTGTCCACATCTTTCTTCCACAGATGGCCAATAATCTCTTGACCGTAGAAGGTGCCACTGAGCTAGTGGGATCTGTCAGAAAGAACCCCAATTCCATGATGGAAGAGATCAACATCTCAGTAAGAGCTTATGTACCGGAAAACTTCAAAGCCCATACAGCACAGTTTTAGGAGCTAGTTAAATCCCAGAGCTGTCCCCCTCAAAACTGTTTTGAGACTTGCTGTCTGTTTTGTTTGTGCATAGCCATTATTTAAGGGAAAGAAAAAAAAAAAAAGCTACCATTTTAGAGCCCTTGTAGGAGCCACAAGGAAATTATGGTTTTTTTGGTCTATCTCTGGAGAGATTTGCCTGTAAAATCAGCACATTTCACTCCCTTTAATTTTGCAGCAGCAGAAGCAGAAGGAGGAGTGAATTCAGAGTAGGGGATGAATTCTCTTCATCCCCTGAGCTGCCTCCCTCCAGGGTAGCCTAAGATGCTAGATACTGTAAAGTGCTTCGATACTCTGTCAGGATGAAAGAGGAACAGAAAGAGATGAATGCTTCAAGGCATTGAAAGCAAAGTGTTTCTTATTAAAACAAAAAACAAACAAACAAACAAAAAACTACCACAAATTAAAGCAAAGGAAAAAACTAAAGGTGAGAGGATAAGAATCAGAAAGGCCAAATATTAATATGCATTTTTCTCCATAGCAAGATGGTAACGTGACATATTACTGTAACCTCATGTGCTACTTCTAAAATGGCTCGGAAAGTCCTACAAATGCTTCTGATTTCCTAAGTGAGGGCAGGGGCTACATCCCAAACCCATGCTGAGCAGAGACCTGGGCATGCACCAGTCCGCTCCTATCTCTCCCATCCATGTGAGTGGGAGAAAGAGTGGCTTGCAGGCCAGAATGGACTTACAGAATATGTCAGTGGCTTCAGGGTCCTCTGTTTATCTTTGGGAGAGCCATGATTAAAGGAAAGACCATTTTCAAAAAATCAGATTTGAGTCTTGAAAGATAAATATTATGTTCACATTTGCAAAAAGCTGAATAGTTCAGGGGGAGTTCTGGAGACTTAGACAACAGGTGGTATCTTTGTCCTGTGCTTCCTGTATCAAAGAAATGAAAACAAAGCAGAATAAATAATATTCATCTATGGTCTTTGCTGGGAGTACCAAGGGCTTTCAGCAGAGATAGAAAGAATGGGTATTCCTCCAGGGCAGACATTTTTTCCTGCATAAATTAACATCAAAGAAAATTATTTGCCAAGACTGCTTCATTTTGCAAAAAACCCCACAAAACTAAAAGAGTCTGTGTGTGAATAAAAGGCTTTGATATAGTATGCATGCTTCTGTTAGTTTAACTATTAGTAACCTAAACAATTCATAACCTTGTAAAGAGTAATATGTTATGGCTAAATTCTGAGAAGTTAAAGAAATTATTGAAATGCAATTATTTAAAAGGAGTCACTTGAGAAATTTGGAGGCAAGGAGTTCATTAATATTTAGAATCTTAAATATCACTGAATATTTCTGCTTTTCAGTGTTAACAAATGCTCTCTTTTCTCCACCCCTCAAAAAGTCTAAATTATCTGGCATTTCCTAAAGTGAATGGTCAATGGCACAAATTTACAATGCCTTTATGGTATCTCAATCACATGTTTGCAGACAAGCATCTAACCTCTCTGATATATTTCATTCCATCTGTGATGTATATGGTCTTGTATTTCAGTTCAGAATATTTGCAAATACACACCTCCAAAGTTCTTCTGCTGTCCTAAATCTTTAAGAAATTAAAAAATCTTTAATAAGAAATCTAACAGCCTTTTCTGCCCCTTTTTTTGGTGATAAATGTTTATTTTGACTTTCAAAGAAAGAATAATTAGTGTGTCTTTAAGTGACATTTCAAATAAGGGTCATTTCTAGAAACCTCCGCATAGGTTTGACAGCACTAGTAAAGGCAAAGTGATAGAAAGACACATTTTTAATGTTGTAGTTTATTGCTTCTAAGCACATTTCTACCATTTCTACCATTTCTAAGCACAGCTGTTCCTCGCACTCTTTCCATAATCTACTTTTACAGACTTTCAACTTGCATTTACTGGCAATCAGGTATTTTTATGGAAGGCATGAATCAAAACAGCCAACACGCCTATCTTCACCATCACAGCATGAAAGAATGTCCATTACTTATCAGTTGCCTGTGCATTGTTTTTCTGGGCTGTGGGATGACTGTGCCAAAGATGCAGAAATAACCACCTGGCTTCCTCCAGGTTCAAGCTGACTCCAGCATGGCCTGCTTGGCCAGGCGCGGTGCTTGGTTGTGCTGAGGCCACACTGGCAGCCTTCTGCCTTTCTCCTGAGTTCAAGCCCAGCCTGGCAAACCTTGGGGAGAGCTGGCTGCAGGCAGAGACAGGTTGGGTCTCTGTGCTGGGTTCCCAAGACTGAAATGCGCTGCAAGCCTGCGTATTTCATCAAGGTCTGAATGGCTCTGGCAGTGAGCCACTCTGCATCCATAAAAACACTGAATGAAGGCTAGTAAACCCAGCCAGACCCAGGCTAGTTCAAGACTATTCACAAGTAATAGCAATCAAGACCTCACTGTAATGTAAGTTCTTTAGCTAACAGTAATTTATTGGGATACCTTGTAAATACACTTCAGGGAAAAATATGACGCTTGATGCCTTGGAAACTTTTTGCAGTGACAGAAAACAGAAGCATTTGTGAATTTGCTGTTCCTAAATTGCCTTGAAATTTCCATCAATTTAATATGTAGAGCTAACATAACACGTGAACAACTGTATTTCCTTACTCTTCTGGAAAATCATAATTATATTTTCAAAATGTCAGTCAAGGTAAAGGTAAATTCATTATATTGGTAGAATAAATTACAGTAACATCTTTTTTCTTTCTTTTTTTTTTTTTTTTTTTTTTTTCCAGACAGTGAACTAACATCACAAAACCCTGAAACAGGACACTGTGCTGCTGCCCATTCTATAAGCAGTAAAACAGAAAACTCAGAGTGTGAGCTCTGACATGCTGAACTGTCACTACTCTGTCTGAAATCCTTAAGAAAAAAGCAATGCCAGGCCTTGCACTGCTAACTGGAATTTCCTCTTTAGGGTTAGACAAGGAAACAGTGTTTTGCCATAAGTTCTTTTCATCGGAAAACACACAGACTCTTCCAAGATAGGTTCATCTCTCTTGTCTGGGCTACAAAGCCACATTGCCAGGGATACTCATCTTTCTGCACCTTGGCTGGTACTGTTTTCATTTTTTCTGAACTCTAAGACAAATTTTGGTCACTTAAGTGTTTGCCTGGCTGTCTACGTATAGTTAGAATGGAGAGGAGATCCAGGCAGAACTGTCTCTGAGATGAACACGGATCACCTAACGTTCAGTATAGTTTTCAGTACAGGCATTTACCTGATGAACATTTACCTTAATTAAATAAATTTCTACGTAAATTATAGGTCCTTTTCTGACTCAGGCCTTTTCTGACTCAGGTCCTTTTCTGACTTTTCTGACTCATGAGAAGAAAGAACTAAGAACACTTATTTAGGGTCAGGCTTCTGTTGGATTACTGAAAGTGAAGATCAGGTACAGGAAAACAGCATCACCTTAGGGAAAGGTAGTTAATGTTGGCTTTAGTCAGATCAGTTAATGCAAACAAGTCTTCGTTGTTTGCTGGTCATCCACACTCACTATCCCTCCTTTTGTGTTTCAGAATGTCCTGGTGAATGAAAATTTCATCAAGTTGTTGGAGTTAGTGTATCAAACACGCCCTGAACTAAATGTTATCTACGGGGAGGTTGAAGGCTGCATCTCCAAAATCTCCAAGCAGCATCCAAATCCTATGAAAGTGATTCAGGTGAGCTACTGAATTTTGTTCCATGGATCTCCTGTACACAGCACCCATGCCTCAAGCACTTGAAGAGAAAGAGTTTGGAATGGATAAGCTTTCTGCCAAGTAGGAAATTCAGGCAAGTTCCTTCAGAAAAGTATATTCAGAATCACAGCTGCACATTCACATCTCTTATTCCATGCAGATTGACCAACTAAATCCTTCAATTTTCAGGAGGCTGAATGCTTTTGGATCTGAGCGTATAGGGCTAAAAAAAAAGAGGGGGGGGGGGGGGGGAGGAGGCCGCGGTTATTTTTTTTCATATTTTTTTTTTAAAAAAAAAAAAACAATATATTTTTAAGAAAAAATAAAACTAAAAA